AACAAAATCCTTACGAGATCCTTGCATGGGTACCAATTGCATTCCTTAATTAACAAACCTATTTCTGTATTCATTTAACAAGTTTGTTCAAAATCATATACGTGAAAAGAAGAAAAACACTTGCTGTGCCCTTCAACTCGACATTTAGATATAATGACGACGTATTGTTAATATACAATGGTTATTTCCATTCTTATGTCGATACGATATATCCTAGTGAGCTTGAAATAAAAGATACCAAAGAATTTAATGGTAATCTTTATAGTAAACGTAATGACTACTTTTCAATTGTAAATTTCCTTTGCTTATGCAGTAATAGATCTTCATCACCTGAAAACAGAGTTTATATCTCTCAGTCCATTCGATATTCAAGAGTATGTTCTACCTTTGAACAATTTCAAAAACGAGGTAAATTATTGACAAACAAGTTGATGAAACAAGAATTTCAAATGTCTCGTTTAAAGTCATCATTTCGTACGTTCTATTGTCGATACAATGACTTTGTCAGCAAATACAATTTATCATTGAGTCAATACTGACTGAAGTTTTACATACTAATTACCAGGCCATTATATAAACACCGAATTGTCGACGGATTTTCCGTTATTTCACAATCATGACGGGTGTGACCGGTCGGCAGGGGATGCTCACTTCCCTCAGACACCTGAGCCCACCTGCTTTTGAGGTCCATGTTTGTTCTGATCCAATTTTGTATTTAAGAGACTTCTGAATTTGAGTACTGTTCGTTTTCCTTAAAAAATTTCATTACAACCAACACTGTTGAATTATTGCATGACAGTATAGCAACCGACAGGAGACAAGCATGAAAAAATATACCCCCAGTCTTATAAATGTTGTCATAACAGATGCTTCGTTCTTGTGGTAATATACAATGACTAATTTACATTCTTCAAAAATTTGCTCCGATTCATTATGCAAATGTCCCTTAAAATAAAACAAAAACATTTCACTATTATTAACAAAAACATCCAATTTGATAAAAATTTATGCAAGTTATTGAAAGCAATGTCATACACTTGATATAAATATTGTCTTTCATGGTACATTATAATTATATAAATAGATAATAACTGGATAAAAAGTAATAATTTTAAAATTATAATTATCATTTTTGTCAATACAATACTATCTAAGATTTTTGCCTTTGAAGGAATCAATTGAGAAAAATCTGCTTATAATGAACAGAATTTTTTCGTTAAGCATACAAGACAGTCAAATATTATTTTTAAAAAAAACCTACACAATTTTTACACGAAATTTCACAGTATTGAATCATTTTTTAAATAACTTTTAAAGTTTTTTTCAAAAGATATTGATTTGAATTTTAAGGACTATGATCCATTTGCTCACGTTTCAAGGGCAGCCATATTGGCGCATTTAGAAATTAAAAAAAAATTGAAAAACTGCAGCAAACCAAAAGAAGCGTTCTTATGACATTGAATATTGATTCAAGTTCTTTAATCAACAGAACTATCGATGTAATGGATAGAAATTCAAATTTGTAGGCCTTAAAACGTGACGGTGACTGAATCAACGTACAGAACAAATAGGGTCCCTTTATGTTGAACAGACTGTCGTTACCTCACAACAATAAAACACATCTTATAGCTGTTTTATTGATTATCAGTTTTGCCTCCCCATCTTTCTTAAGAAATAAAATAAGAGTGTTTCAGTCGTTTTTTTTTTTACCTTTTATTCAACAGATACTTCCTATAAACATTTCAGAAGCCAATGTACGAAGAGGTGAAATAAACTTTTTTGAGTACAAGTAAGTGGAGGCAGTGGTGGACATGTGGCCAACAAGAAGTTTTTTCTCGAAAGTTTGGTATTTGTTTGTGTTCCTTGGACTGATTTCGTTCGTACATATCTACTCGATTCTTAAAGGTATGTCAACTTATGCAGAAAATTATTTCATTTATTTTTTACATTTCACATCCATTGTTTCTTTATATTTTACAAAATGTGAAATTTTTAAGGGCGAAACTTGCTGAAAATTAAACATTATTCATACTTCAAGATATAATTAAACCGTGTATTTTAAAAAAGGATAATAAAGGAATCTAATTATGAAAAGGGTTAGAACTGTTATTTTCATATCATTAAATGTGTATTTCAAGTTTTCAAAACAATAAAGACGTAACAACTTGAAAGAGAAATATTCAATATGGCTAAATTACAAAATTAGTTTAATAAGTGAATTGGTTTGTCTCAAAAGGAGGCAAGTTTAATTTATATATCTATTCGATTGTTTCGTCTATAAGAATTATGAACAGCATTACAAGTCTAAAAATAAAGATATAGAGATTTACCGCCATGCCACTTTTCAACGTAATTTTAATTAAGAAAAAACAATTGATGGAATGAAGGAGCAATTTTTCTTCAGAGTTCATTGAAGAAAAAAAGTTTTCAGCACAAATAAAAAGTGCCATGGTAAATTACAATTCTCCGAATCATGTTGTTTATATGACTATTAACGATTAAAAAGGTATTTATATTGTCAGGTCGAAGATATTTTTGTAAACATGTAAGCTTCTTAAGAACAAATCTTAAAGATTATTCGTAATTTTAGATAAATATTATATCTGAAATAAATACAAGTGTAGTGTACCCACTAGCCAAATACATAAAATCATCATACCCACTAAGATTAGTACAGTAAGATTTTACTAATGTAAACGACCCCCCCCCCCTCCTATGTCTTCATAGCAAATTTTATACAGGAAACATATTGTTTCTCTTTCAGAAGATTTAAAATGTTTTCTTGTATGAAATGTCGAAAAAAGTCTGTTGTATTAAAAAAAAAAAAAGATTCTTAGGCTATGTCATATACATGACATAATATTTCATACTTCTATCATTTCCATATGCTAAAAGCATCTTTTTATGTTAGTGCAGGTTTGTTTTTTACAATTTCCGTAGATTCAAAACATATTCAAAAGAAATCCTATACCTTTGTTAATATTAGACTAGGCCCCAAATTCTATTTTTAAAGTTCTTGAATAAAAAAAAACGTGATGTCGGGTCATGAGCAGTACAAAAGAGCTCGTCTAACATGGCGGAATTGGGTTGTTTAAACTTTACTTTTAGCAAATAAGGAAGTTGAGTAAATTTATAGACGATACATTCAATATAATCAACTTTATAACAACCCTAAAATCAAAGCATTACATAATCTTTGATGTAGGAACGTTTTCACGTCTTTCTGCCTTTAAATGTCAATTGATGGGCATTTTAAAGAATTCAGCTTAATAATATCAATACAGCCGCTTTTTGTTATTACTCTGAGAGAAAGTGAAACCAGATATATTAATACCTCATTTCATTTTGAAGCATATCAGTTTTCCTTTTAAGTGCTAAACTATGATTGAAAATTTTTATTATTGAGGGTTTTTTTCTATGAAGAAGCACTTCGATACAAAAACGAACTTTCTTTTTCATCACTTTTAAAAGCAATTAGTTTAACATTGCATAGACTCTGAGTGAGTCCTTACTACAATTAGTTTTACAGCACGTTCTGTCTTTGAAATACAAATCATTCATTAATCTATTATACTAGTAACTTTTGAATTTTTCTACTATTATTACAATCGCAAATTCCTTAAAGGACATTTACATATTCAATATACAATTATGTCAAAGTCATTTTTGATAAATTAAGACTAACTAGCATTAAAAATATCTTTCTCTTTGTTTTGTTACTTTATATAAAGATAGGACATTCCTGCAAATTACACAATTTAAATCACAGTTTAAATCAATCGCCTTTCATAGATTTTTCGAGATTTAAAAACAATAATCGATTTATCTCAAACACAGTTTAAAGTCAATTTAACTAAAGACACGTGGGGGTATTTAGGTTCAAATTTGATTTGAACGTAAATAGCAAATATCATGTAAAACTACACTTAATCTAACTTGTATTTTCACTTTTTCGGCTCAGATACGCCCTATATAGCTTTAATTGAACACTGTTTATAAAGAGATATAACTTTTTATCTACTTTGAAATTAGATTTGAGAATTTCTAAGAATAAGTCGTGTTTCTTGTGCTATACATGTACACGTATGTCATCTCTATAATGCAAAATATAATATTTATCAATACTCTTCAACCATCATCAAGAATAATTAATGTTTAAATATTATTGTTTTAAATAGGATACATAAGTCATAATTTTTAATTAGTTAATACAAATAATACTACAAATAATACTAACACATATATATCACATTCATAAAGAATATTGATTACTATGACTAGTATCGATCGCTTGACAAATGAAAATTTACTATCTATTTTTCTTACTGGCTTGGATCCTATGAGACCGGACCTTGTTCGCGCGTCCTACCGATCACATTGCGATTAACCTACAGACTGACCTATTAATGGTATAAGAAGAAAAGAAACTTAATTACAATATATGTATTGTAAGTAATCATATGCATTGTATGTAATCATTTGTATTGCATTTAATCACATGTATTGTATGTATTCACCTGTAATGTTTGTCGCATGTTTTACATTTGTAATCACATGTATTGTATGTAATCATATGTATCGTATGTAATCAAATGTATTGCATGTAATCAAATGTATTGCATGTAATCACATGAATTGCATGTAATCATTTGTATAGTATGTAATCACATGTATAATGTTCATCACTTGCATTGCATGTAACATCATGTATTGCACGAAATCACATGTATGTAAGATTACTTGTATATTATCTTATCATATGTATATACATTATGATTGTAATCATTTGTATTATATATAATCACATGTATTGAATGTTATCACATGTATGATATCAGTTACTGGATCTGGAGAGCTCTCAGAGAAAAAATGTAAAAAGTTCTGCAAAGAACATATATATGTACGAATTATCTTTCCTCGTTCATGTTATATAATGTTTATGGTCCCAATCGGCAATCCTTGGCTGACTCCATACGCTCCATACCTGCCATTACGAGCAGGCCGAGGAGTTCTTTCTACTCGTTTACTCGTTTTCTAACTGTTTAGAAAGAATACACTCTTAAATTAATCTAATTCCTGTAAGATAGAAATCAGATTGTACAATCAGAAATGTAAATAAAAACGTATACAATGTTATATAAATACATCTATCTATAAACTACTATTTTTATGCGTAGGAAACGCAGTAACGGATGGCGCCAAATGGAGCAGACCATTTAGAAGAGGGAAACACGTGTTCGAAATAGTTTTCCCGCGTCAGATGCGTGGAAAACACGCATCGGTGGGCATAGGTCTTAAAAAGGCAGCTGTTGTCAGTGAATCAAACCAAACGCTTGTAGGATCTGATGAACATTCTTGGGGTGTGGATCTAGTGACTAAGGAGGTGTGCCATAATAAGAGAAGATTGGGGAGATTCCCGGGTGTGTTGACGAGTTTTCCGGACAGGTTTTACATGTATATTGATATGGACATAGGTAGCTTACTGTTTGGTCAGGAAGACAGGTTCTTTGGTGCCGCACTGACAGACGAACAGTTAATTGGGAGTGTTGTTTACCCTATGGTGTCCGCTACTCAGACTGGGGCCGCCATCACCGTAGTTTACAGAGGAAAAGGTATGAGGATAATGTATTACATGGAATGATAGAATGGTGTTAACGCTGGCTAGTTCTTCAATGTGACTAAGATGTTAATATAAGCAGCTGTGATTGTTGGCGTAATCTTGTACGTTGATGTTGAAATCTTCTATAAATGAAGGCTGTTCAAAATATATTGTATACTTTAATTACTGAACATATTACATTTTTTGTAATTTTTTTAATAGGTAAACCGATTGAAGGACCGTTAAGGAAAAAGCGGAAGTAGACGCTAACAGAGCTTATCTAACTCAGGGAGGGCGAGTCTCAAATTATTTTACGCAGATAAATATTTTTATCAAATTACCCGGTATTTTTTTCTTTGAGAATTTTTCTAACATTCTTTGTGTCGAAAGAGTATTTCATTGTCTCTAGATCTGGTAGTAACCCGGCTCGGAATAAAAAAAATATATTTATTCAGAAACAAAAAAAAAACATGTGCACACAAAAAGTGAAGATGAATTGTCGCAGACAAACACAAATGCATACATACAAACACACAGACAAAGTGATCTGGTTGAGTTGGAAATTACCCATTTGAAACTTCAAACTCACCATACTTTATATATTATATCTGTTTATATTATAATTAAAGTTACTTTATGAATGACTGTGTTTTTATTTATTTTTTTTAAATACAAGTATGACATATTTTGTTCTTTGAATGGTTTTTATTTTTCGAGACACCGACGAAATTAAAAGAAAAATAAGTTACCTGTGACTGTCCATTAACTTATATCAAGGCCAGAGGTAAGCTACTATAACCAGAAATCTCTGATGAGACTGAAGCTCTACTGGTCTGTACGTATAACAAAGGAAAAGAAGCAATCGGATTTGAAACTGTCGAACAGGCAGCGATAAATAGAATTATGTATCGTAATGTAGTCTACTTGTTGAAATCAGACAAAACTGTAGGAGGAGTTGCGTTTTTCTATTTTTAGTAACCATGTCATCACCTCTTTTCCAAATCAAAAGCTGATGCACTAATTTATGTATCTTAGTGTAGTCTACTTGTGTGAACACAGGTACGTAGCAACGGGGGGGGGGGGGGGCTGCCCCCTTTTTCCCCCAACATTAATTTTATTATTGGAAATGTTCAGTGAAAGACTGGTTGCCCCCCCCCCCCACTTTATACTACAATTGATATAAGGGAAATGTAGTGTTGAATACAAAAAAAATTGGTACTGAAAGAAGTTGGCATTGAAAAAAGTTGGTCTCTAACCCCACCCCCCCCCCCCCCCCCCCCCGAAATAGATTTTGAGTTTGGGCAATTTCCTTTTTTTCTGCTTGTCAACTTTTTCAAGAAAGTTAAAAAAAAGTTTTATTTTATCTGGCTGCCCCCCCCCCCCCACTTTCAAAAACGATGATACGTGGCTGGCCAGGTTATATTGAAGTTAGACCAAAACTATGGGAGGAGTGGTGTTTTTAAAGGAATTTCACAGAAATATCTAATTTTAGTAACCATGGCAACACTGTTCAAGGAAATCAAAAACTGATGCACTAATTTATGTATCTTAGTGTAGTCTACTAGTGTGCAAAGTTATATTGAAATCAGACCAAAACTGTCTGAAGTAGCGTGTTGATTAATTGTTTACAGACAGACGTACAATCAGACAACTAGACTGACTGACGGACGACGGACACCTTACCATCGCATAAGCTCTTCTGGTCTCTGTCCAGTAGAGCTAAAAACACACACACAATAAACAGAATGATAGATATTTTAAACAATGATTTCAACATGTTTCACTAATAATGAAATAAATAAAATTCAAAAAATAAACTGAAACTTTGTTACTGTTAAAAAGTCGGTTTCTGTAAAACCCATTCATTTTTGGCCTTAGAATATCGACGTGGTACGAAGCACGTGCGTTTAAAAGTGCAGTCAGTTTCAATGTTACGGTCATTTGCTTGATTTAGGTTTGGAAAGGCAACTAAAAAAATATCTTGTATTCAATTTTAAAACTCTAGTGAAGTTTAGTCCTACTTTAAGGATGGATCAAATAATTCACTACACGTGTGAGTCGTATGCACGCTACATTTGACTATAATGTTAAACACGTTATTAGATACCCATTTTTTAATACAAATACAGTACACGTGTGCATTTCAGAGCAGACTTAAATATTTAACTTAAATATTTAAAAAGGAATATCATGTTTGGCTTTTTTTTTGGTTTTTATTAAATAAACAGTCCAAGAAATGAATGAATTATAATTATGTTAAGCATGATATAAACTTTTAGTTTGGTTCGTTTTTTAACGTTTTTTTTATCGGGCTGGCGATGATAAACATAGAACTTTTTCTCCGTAGCCTTATTTAGAACTGTTTGTTGCTATCGGACAAACATTTGCATTAACACACAGATAATTCCGGCTTGAATTTTTGGATACCCGAATCTTGACAACAAGTCAAATTCATCCAACTTTAATAAAGATGTTAATGCATTTGACCTAGCATTTAAATTTTTGCTAAATTTACTCAAACTTTAAATTCTTTTTGGAGATTTGGACATGCTTTTTTGTCTCATACACTATTCAGGGATAAATATTTTACTTAGCAGGCACGTAGCTTGGTAGGAGGTAGGTTGGGGGAGGGTCTTCTCCCAATTTTCTTTCAAAAATAACTTTACTATTGAAAATGTTCATTGCATGAAATGACCCCCGCCCTTTTTTGGTATACATGTACTACAGTCAAAGAAGGGTAATGTAGTAGATCACGTTTGTTTGTTTGTTTGATTGATGTTTCCTCTCGAGAATTTTTCACTCATATGGAGACGCCACCAATTGCCGTTGGATAGCTGCAAATTTTGTCCTATACTCGGCACTCAGGGTCAATTGAGCAAGGAGTGATCTTTTTCGTGCCAGCACCTATTGCGACGATGAGACCACGAATAATACAATGCCATCCGAAGGACGGGTCTCCACGTCCCACAGTGGTATTCGACGTGGAGATTTACTCCTTACTCCGCGACTCTAGAGCAGACGCTTTTAACCACTGCATCAGGCGGGCGACTATGTATTTTTTTTAAAGGCACTGAAAAAAAAAATCGATCTCTACCTCCACCCCCTGCCCCCTCCCCAACGGAAAAGGAATTATTATTTTGTTTTTTTTCTTTTTTGTTTTTTTTAATGTCAAGTTTGTTAATTAATGTAAGTTTATTTTTTCTGGCTGCTCCCCTTTAAAAAATGCTACGTCCCTGCTAAGGTATTTTTATTATGTTATACTGAATGTTTTATACAAATACATATAACGGTGAACCGTGTGTGCATAAATTCTGCGCAGTCGCTATTTTTTGGAATATCACCCGTCGTCAAGCACTGTTGACTGTTGCTACGCTGGAGGGCGTGGCTTCATTATTCAGCAGGTAATAGTGTTTTTTAACAAATGTTTCTCGACCAATCAGATTCAAGTAATTTACATGAAAGTATAATATTGCGAATTATTCTGTCTTCGAATTTCCATTCGTAAGGCTAAGCTGACAATAATTTGTAATAGTACTTAAAGTCTTGATTATCGTTCTTCCTCAGCCCAAGTTTATTCGACTAGGCCGACCAAGTGAAATTTCCATCCCTGAGTCTTATTGATGAAAGAAAATATTATATCAGAAACACAAAATGTTATTAAACGTTGTCATCTGAAATTAAGCAGTATCAGAAGCGAAAAAACGTCAATGGGTATGGCAGTTTCATGTAATGCAGCAGGATGCAACCTTAGAGATATAAAAATCGAAACAGAGTGCAAGATTGAGATCCATTACATTTATTTGAAAAGAGACAATATGACACACTAAAAGTATTCTATGTGTACATGTATATACAAAATAAGTACAAAGCTTTATATAAAAAATCATTTATGAAATCTTTTTTTTTTGGGGGGGGGGGGGGGATTCTTACGAACGCAAAATAGGTTTCATTAATTAGAGCATTTAGGTCTTTAAAACGTTGACTATCTCGTTAAATCGAGATATCACTGGCGTAAAGTTCGATAGGCTTATTTACAATTAAAGTAGAACATAATTTTATATTTAACATTAGTCGCTTGCTGGAACCTAAGTGATAAAAAGTCAAGACTCAATGAGGAACGGAAACATTAAATAAGGCCATTTTTTAAATTTAAACTTCCTTGTACTTATAGCTCAATTGGCTCACATGTCAGCACATTAAAGTGAAAGTTGCACTGCACCCTTCAAATGAGACTTTAAAAACCGAGGCCCAGGTTATAACTTATAGGCGTCGACACGATAAAGGACCTTCCCTGTTCAAAGGCTCTGGATGCCGAGTAAAGGTCTAGTTTTGAAGGCCTTCACCAGCATATGGTGATATCGTCTCTATATGAGTAAAAATTCCCGAAAGTGACATAATTCAACATACATGACATAGAAATCGATCCTCTACATAACCACGAAGCCCGCTTTTACCCACAGACCTTTAGATCACTTAGAAAAAAAATGAGGTGTATTTTTTTTTTACACACACAATTCTTTAAAGCGATCCAAAGGGCTGTGCTTTTAGAAAACAAGGCAAACAGTATCTTTTGGTAAAGAGAATAAGAATAAATTCAAATGTAGGACCATAAAGCCTTTTCATAATATTTCTAAATCATGAAATGTAAACAGATTAGGGCTCCGATTAATTAAATAATCACGCTATGCATGTACAATCTTACGTTGTAGTCAAAATTGTTTTTTGACCTGTCAGTAAGGGATGCTTACTTCCCCTATGTACGCGATAGAAACGGTACCTCTGGAAGTCCGTTTTATGCCCTGTTCCTAGATTTATGTTGTTTGTCGATTTTTTAAATCGATCATTTCAATCATTGACACTTGGGTTAATGTCTTAATTTGGGAATCAATTTTACATCGTATATACGAGGAGACTCACTAATACACAGTATGAACGATGTACCCTCTCAATACATAAGGTACTAAAAATGCACATTGTTTTGTTCCATTGAATTAAAACAGTTATCAAATTAATTGCTATCAAATGAACGTTTGAAAATTGTACATGAAGTGAACATTTGAGAATAGACAAAATTAGACAGTACAAATATAAACATTTTTCATGTTGTCGGACGTATGACAGTAACTGGCCTTTCCGACAAACCATTATACTGTGAAAACTCGTGGTACCTGAAGCTGTCATACGTCTGATCAAGAATTCAATGCTGAAACAGAGTATTCATAAATTTAAGTTTTTGAAGCAATACCAACCAGCCGTCCAACTATGACTGCACTGCCATCTTACGCCGCCCAGGAAGGCGAAATGATTACGCTTCAGTGCACAGTGTATGTAAGCCCATCTGACTCGGACCCGATCACGTGGTTTTGGACTTGTGATGACAAAGATTTTAAATCCAATTCAACCTCCAACGGTGATACAAGCACAGTGACCTTCAAAGCAGATAGGAAATTAAATAAGAAACTTTGCTTTTGTCGAGCAACAGCAAATTCATCAGGGATAATCTACAATTCAACGTCCACATATAAAAACATAGAGGTTTACTGTAAGTTCGTTTTCTTTCCTTTTCTCTATTCCCATGGTGTTTTTCATTAATATGCCTGCTTTCAGAGATCGGCTTTGGCTAATCGTTATTGGTACATCCAGCAACAGTAATCATGTTAAGACTGACTTCTATTTGACTATGCACTGACAGGTCCTTGTAAATTTAATATGATCGTCACATGTATGTACAATGGAGTTTCTTTTAGATATATTTACTTAAATTGTATAAATGCATAACATATTATATTACGTCCCAACTGAAAATTATAATGTTGTGATTTTCTTACAGATCCACCATTGACTTCACCAAAATTGAATGCTTATCAAATAGAAAAAGCAACTGGAGACGATATAACTCTTCAGTGCTTGATTGACTCGCTTGGTAACCCTCCTGTACGTTGGTCCTGGAAATGTGGAACTCAAACAATTAACTCAAGAATTACTAACATTGGCCTGGCTTCAAAGGTTGTTTTCGAAGCTGATCCAAATCTGAATGGCAAGTCTTGTTATTGCCAGGTTGATGCTCCTTCACGATACGATTTTAAGGCATCGTCTAGTGCTGCAGACGTCAGTGTTTTTTGTGAGTTACAATATCATGATACACTTAAATAGTTACAATTTATTCCATTCTTAGTATTGAATTTTAAATTAATGTTCATATACATGGCATTGTAACATTTTTTCTGTAAGTTTATCTACACAATGCGTCATTTTACAGACGATTTTGCATGTTCCGAAATCATTATGTTTTCCAAATGATGACCATGTTATCATGGTGTTATTTCTTTTCTAAATACTGTAGACGTACTTTTTTCCACGGGGTCATAATTCCGCGGAATCTCAATTTCTGTTTAATCCGCGGGTAGAAAATTACGCGGATTTTCTAGATTGTCACTATATATGCCTTGCATTTATTTTAAATACGCTTGGACAAATTTCCGCGGAAAATTTGTGACCGTGTACATAGCGCAAATTAATACCACGCGGAAAAAAGTACTTCTACAGTAGTCAAAATAAAAGTTGTTTAGATGCTTTTATAAAAAAATCAAGACAGCCTAATTTTCAATATTTAATGATTAATATCGTAATTTCTTCAGATTATCCGTCAGACTTTCCTCGTATCAGCACAAGGACAGTTAGGGTTAATGTGGGTTCTCCAGTTATACTTCATTGTTCATTGTCGTCTGCTGGTAATCCACAGATCACGTGGTCATGGTATTGCAATGATGTCATAATGCGAGAAGATGTCCGAGATAGGGACACATCGACAGAGTTGTCATTTATAGCAAAACTGACCGACGACAAAACTGACTGTTATTGTAGGGGGAGGAGTAGTCATCCTCTGATTAAAGGATCCTATGACCAAAAATCATCGAGCTCATACATAAAGATAATCGGTTGGATTTATATACTTATCATTTACATACATATTTATATTTTCAGGCACTAAAAGAACTTAATCACTAAAGCACAAAGCAATAACATTTTAATCTCCCTCTCCTTAATATTATCTTGATTTAATATTTACAACCAATTAGAGAAAAAAATACGTTATAACTAAATACCAATGTGAGCATAACTTGTTAATGTTAATGAATTGTTTTAACTCACCTAAAACGTCAGCTCAAATGTGCATTTCATAATTTCCATCCGCCTGTATGTCTATATGCCTGGTGTCAATATTAAATTTGTTTACTCCATAATTATTCGAATAAATTCAACAAACCTTTTTCTAAATTGCCTTTAAAATTTTTAGATTATTTAAACGGTCATTTACTTACCTCGTGTGCATAACACTTTTAAGACATTTGTATCGTTTTAGAGTACCAAATGAATGCAGAAATTTTTAAAGAATCTGGAAGCAAGGGAATTTCTCCCGCGGCATTTGGAGCAACCTTGACCATCCTGTTGATTGCTCTAATTTCCTGCACTATTATCATCATTATTCAGCACAGAAGGATTCCGAAAGAGTCCTCATTGATCACATGGTTTCTTGTCAAAATAGGTTTGATATACATGAATGAATTATTATTGTTTTATATAAGATTTTTATGTTTTTGATAGAACGCGTTTAAAACATGTTAGCTTCATTTTCTTGAAGCGATATGCAGTTGTTTTTCTCTTTCCGTTATATACTTTTCATCGAAGAACATTTATTTCAGGTAAAGCCAGGAAAAGGTATATCATAATTTTATTCTTATACTCCAAACATGTAACAATAGGTGCTAAATATTAAGAAAATAAAATAATAAGCCCCTCTGCTGTGTCACTAAAACTTTTGGTTCATTTCATGTTTAACCATTAAAGAAAATCAAAGAGTTTTCCGGATGTTCAAGAGGAAATTCCAGAAGAACACAGTTACGAAACCCTGAAAACAGGATATCAAATTAACCCTTTTTGTTCCTATTTGCAATTTTCCTCACCTCATCTTTATTTTCTCTTTATATTATGTTGACATTTAACTCCATGTATGATCAGCCACCAAAAATGATTGTAGCAACATGGTGGTTATTTATTTACTATTTATTCATTTTTAGAAAATATTTAGTATGTGTACTACGCATGTCTACACGATCATACAGAGGCTTGTTTTCTTATTAGAACAGAGATTTGGAGGCTGGAAGCACTAGGTGAAACAATAAGAATTATAAAAATTCTTAGCACCAATGACTGATAAATAATAGTTAAATTTATTGAGATATATATGCAAATAAAAACAGCCGTATTAGTTTTCTATTTGAATTTTTAACTGACTATAGACGATGGCGGTCAACTTCAACTAAATACTACGACAAACAAGATGACTTCAGCTTTTCAATCAAAAACGATTCTTATTCATGTAGGTACATTCCGCTTTCATCTGCATACTGTGTACGTCTCATATTTCATTTGATACTTAAGAGCATGATCAATTTTTAAACCGAGACAGGCTTCTGACAGGTAAGGTGATGTTACAGGGATTTCAACAAACTCGTGTTCAGTCAGTATTTCGTGAATTCTATGGTCGTTATAATGACTTTGATAACAAATCTTACTGGATGGTTTTTTGCCTGACCTGTTTCATACAAATCATTATGCCGTTGTTTTGTGTATAGAATTTGACTACGGAATGTTTAATCTACCTGATCAATATATGAGTACTCAGAGGCCGCCGTGAGGGTAAACAGGGGATACTTACCACTTAAGGCACCTGATCCCACCTCTGGAATTTCTAGCGGTCCGTGTTTTACGTCCTATGCCTAATTGATGTGTGTGTGTGTTGTTTGAGGATTTTTATGAGATGGATCACTGTTTGCTATCTTCACCTTGTCATTTAATTTATTATCATTTTATCAGATTTATGACAAACAATACAGAAATAAGATAATGGGAACAATGTGTTGATCAAATTCCAGAATTTAGTCGCCTGTGGATGATTCCATATTGATACAACTATCAAAATTTAAGTTCTTACTATTATATTTTGTGTTTATATTTTCAAGGTCATGAATATAATGGGAAAAAATTATCCATTGAAAATTTATATATACAAATTATATTGTTCCCGTTGAAAAAATTCATGATCAATCCCACATGTATGTTTTCTATTTCCTTGTATTAATTTCAAAGACAATGAAAGTATATATTGCACATTTGCTTTATATCAAATCTCGAAGAAATAAATGTATTTACTGTGTATAAAAGAACAACATAAATTATTTAATTATAATGGTTTGTATAAAATAGTACTAGTATATAAAAAGTATATTGATTGTATATATAATTCTAATAAAACTGTAAAGATATGTCGATCATCTGGCGTTGGTGCCTGAATAATCTTTGTTTCAGTGGACAAATAATTTTCTCTTTGAGTAGTCTTTAATACTGAGGAGCTTAAATTGTTTACAAGGACTCCTGTAGATGGGAATAAGCATCAACGTAGTGAAAAAAATGAACACAGTGGACATCACCGAGTCTGCCGTACCTGCTTCATATCTGGATATTTTACTGGCTTAAGACGATAAAGAATCAACTTGTACAGTAACCAAAGTGGAACAAGAAGACTAGTAAGTATCACTGAAAAAGACTCAAAGTAAATCAAACAATACAAAATAGGAGCAGAGCAAACGCGGACCCACAAAACATCAGAGGTGGGATCAGGATAACCAAATTAAACCCCTGATATGCTCAGCTGGCAAAGACCTTAGCATTATTCAAATTTGAGTATTTCTGGGTTTTTTGTTAAAATTCCTCTTGGTATATTATAAGTAAAATATAGAGCTAGTATCAATTGGAAATAATTTTTACAAGCTCAGAAAGCAGTTAATTGCCACAAAATCATTTTCCGTGCCGAAAGCACGATCTAATTAAAAAAGAAAACTGATATATCTTTGATTTATCTGGAATGCAAGTACACATAATCGACATTTCAAAGAATAAAAACAAACATAAACGCGTATAAATTATTACATACTAACTATAGTATAATAAAATATATGTACATAAAAAGCTTGAATGTATTGGTTATATAAATAATCCTATAAGAAAGTAGTGTAAATATTTAGGAGGCAATGTCTTAAAAAGTACTGGTTCCAGTGGATTAGGGCACCTGTCTAAGTAGAGATTCTTCATCCGTGTCAGTTCCAATGAATGCTGAGAACACTGAAGGATTCCTGCAGTTTAGAACAGGCCTTGATATTATCGGTCTGTGAGACGACAAGAAGGTCCCGAAAACTATAAGATTTATCGATGCGCTTCACTTTTCTGTAAATCTACAAAAATATTTACATTTTGGTAATTATCTTACATAAAAATCATTAATACAAAGCCAATTAAATCTTGATTTAGTAAGCCATTTCTTTGGTGAAGAATAAAACTACTTATACAGTCGCACGTCATTTGAGTATGAGAAAAATGATATAATAGTGATAGACCAAATATGATATAGGCTAAAACTTTCAAAGTTCCTTTATGTTATCCATGCCTTCAATCTCACGACTGAGTAAAGTCCAACAATCGCCCAACCATGACACCAGAGTCTATTACACTTGGTTACAAAAACAGTTCCAAAGAAAAATGATAAATGAAGAAACAGAAAATTATATATTTTGAAGTTAATATGAATTCTTTCACTCACAAAAAAACTTTTTTGATACTTTTACTCATGCTCTGTGCTCTTAAAAAATGCATGGATAAAGCCCTGTTCCACTCTTGAAAAAAAAATTGCATATCCAACTAGTCTTGTAAAGTATTGAATATCCATAAAAGTTTATTTTTTAAATCCCAGATTTATTTCAAATTCATTTTTGCAGGGAACACTTTCAGTATATAATTGAGGCCTTTCTTTGGTGAAGAATAAAACTACATAAACAGTCGTTTGAGTATAAGAGATAGAAAAAATATGAGATAGGCTAAAACTTTCAAAGTTCCTTTTCTTTATGATATCCATGCCTTCAATCTGACGACTGAGTAAATCTGAAGTCCAACAACCATTCAACTATGACACCAGAGTCTATTACACTAGGTTACAAAAACAGTACCAAAGGAAAATGATAAATGAAGAAACAGAAAATTATATATTTTGAAGTTAAAATGATTTTTTTTCACTCGCGAGAAATTTTTTTTTATACTTTTACTCATGCTCTGTGCTCTTAAAAATGCATGGAAAAAGGCCTGTCCCACTCTTGAGAAAAATTGCACATCCAAATAGTGCTGTAAAGTATTGAATATCCTTTATTTTTTAAATCCCAGATTTATTTCAAATTGATTTTTGCAGGGAACACTCTCAGTATATAATTGAGGCCTTTCAACTAATTTTTCAAGTTGCACATATGATAAAAATATGGCATAGATAGGTTTATAGGTACATGAAAATATCAAAAAGATAATAACTTATTCATACTTTTTATTAAATCATTAAAAAATTTAATATTTTATAATTGACTTTTACGATGTTGTGTTTTAAGGACAGGTTACTCAGGTGTGAAAAATGAACAAACCAAGTGTCAAATTATGAGTTATCGTTTATAGGAATGAGATATAGGCTGCTTCGGCATTGGTGTTGTTATGCACACAAAAGGGTTCCTTACATTGTTTTGCACACAAAAGTGTTGACCAAAAGAAGTAGAATGCCTTCACTCTACCTGAAATAACAGGGTCGAATGAATGGAGAACAGACTATATTCAATATTTTTAACTCTCTTTGACGACTGTTTTGAAGTAGAAAATATAATGTCATGTTTTTTGAGTTCGTGCTTTTTCGCTTCCTATATAAAAAACATATTTTTACAAGTAAATGCAACAATTGATTATCTTATTTGTGTTACTAAGCACGAAGGGGAACGATCGAGTATAAAAATTTAATCAGGTTAGAACTAAGAAGGGGGGTAGATTTCTCTTTTTATTTTAATTTAAAATATTAAATTTATGTTGTTAAACGGTGTCCACAAATACACAGTAAATAAGTTTCTATTTTTTTATTATTCGTATTTCTCAATTTATCATGTTCAAATAACGTGTATTTTTTTATTAGGGCACATTAATGGGGGGGGGGGGGGGGGGGGGAAATGGTGACTTCTATTGCCTCAGATCTTTCACTTTTCATACCCATTTCATACATATTCTTGTTTACCAGGGCGGGTCCATAGTAAGTTTTTTTCTTGTTTTAGTATATACATTTTTTTAAACCCGGTAAAATTAGGGGGGGGGGGGGGACCCCCCCCTACATCCGCGCATGTGTCAACCAGTCTGCAGGTTCCCTCTGTCACAGAATTTAAACTTGATAATAACTATTGAATGAGTTGAATTAGGACTTTCATATTTCACATGTGCATTACTTGTCACATGTGATTTTCAAATAAACTGTGATTTTTAACCCCGTGACCTTGATCTTGGAGCTTGACCTACTTAAAAAATAACATTACTTTAAATTGACCATAACTATTGAAAGCTTTCATTTTATAAACATGTAATGTATTACCCGTGTCAACGCCTTTGAAAATTCATTATGATTTTTGACCCTTTGACCTTGAAGTTTAACCGGCTTTTCCAAAATTTAAACATTGCCTAAAATTGACCATGACTTTTGATAAAGAAAGGATAACGCTTTCATACCTAGATTTACACGAATACGATTAGCTTTGACTAGGCCTATCGAAAAAAGTATAGCTTAAGAATTCGTCAATACGGTAGCACACAAATTGGCTTTGCTTTTCACCAGCGTGTGTCATGGTGTGACGTAAGGTCATTTTAACAAGGTCAAGGTTGCAAACATTCCTTTACTATCTTTTTTAATAGTAAAACATAAATAAAATGAGATCTACCCTTAAAAGATTGCTTTTACTTTGAACGTGGCATGACCTTGACCCAAGGTCATTTCTCCCGTCCGCAGCTCCACGAAGACCTACTGTTGCTTTGCAAC